ATTTTTTTTTTTTCCTTTTTGACTTCTGGTGGTAGAGGAATAGGTTAACTATTACCTATCAACCACTATTGCATAGTTTCATTTAAGCAGTTCTTTCTTGGACTTGGTATAACCAATAATTCACTTAATTTAATCCTCAGTAAGATATGTATTCTTCTATTTTATGTTGCTTTCATGGTATTAACCATAATTCCACTCTTATAATAGTCTTGTTTTCAACGTTTTGTTTAAACACATATGTTGATTTTTTTTTAGAATTCTATGAAATTTAAATGCACACTTCTGTAAGTATAGAAAAACTTGAGCTTTTGAAACATATTTCACCCTGTTTTGAAAAGAAGTCTAACTATATTCAATACCCCATGACAAACCATAATGAAAAATAATATATATATGTATAACTGAATCACTTTGCTGTATAGCAAAAATTAATGCAACATTGTAAATCAACTATCCGACAATAATAGACATTTTTTAAAAAGGGGTCTAATGATATTTCATCATCTGTAAGAATCTGGAAGGTTGTGTAATTCTTGTTAGTTCAACAAGTTTTGTTTGTTTGATCTTGGTTTTGGTGTTCTAGTGGAAATGGAACAAAATTATGGCAGTATAAGCACCAAATTGTATCCCTATCCCAAGCTTCTTGTTAAAGTTCTAAATATATTAGCATTTCAAGTGTAAGCATTAACACTTCTAATAACTTTTAATACTTGAATTGCATGGCTTTTTCTTTTTTTTCAGTTGTCTGTCATCTACACCCAGACTTATATTCAGTACTTCTAAGAAGATCAAATGTTTGGCTTCTGTCACTACAAATCCTTCCAGAGGGAGCTAAGCAATGAAAGTAACTTTACAGGGCATACTAGTTTTCATACTAAGCTTCCCAGGTGGTTCTATTAGTAAAGAATCTCCCTGCCAATGCGGGATACATAAAAGATGCTGATTTGACCCCTGGGTCAAGAAGATACCCTGGAGGCAGGAATGGCAACGGACTCCAGTACCCTTGCTGTAAAATCCCTCGGACAGAGGAACCTGGCGGACTACTGTCCATAGGGTCCCAAAAAGTCAGACACAACTGTAGTGACTTAGCACGTCACTAGTTTTCAAATTGATTAATTTAAGTTGGTTTGTAATTTCAAATTGTTATTAGGTACTAATAATGAAAGACATGGAAACCACTCCAGTATTCTTGTCTGGGAAATCCCATGGAGAGAGGAGCATAGTGGGCTACAGTCCATGCAGTCTCAAAGAGCTGGATATGACTGAAGTAACTTATCACACAAGCACAGAGTTTTAAAAAATCTGAAAGAATCATGGAAGTTTGGAGTTAGAGAAGAAAAAAAGGGCAGGGAGGACAGGGAATGTTGAAATGGGAGCAATTTCAAGTAGATGGCCCTTCATGTAAAGGAGAAAAACTTGAATATTGGAAGAGAAAAGTGACACGTCCAATGTCAGAAAAAATGGTCCAAAGGTGAGCCCTATATCAGAGATTTTATTCTTGCTGATACAAAGAAATGGGGAATACATAAAATAGAAATAAATTAATCTAATGTAAAAAGTGACAGCTTAGTTACCTGGCATACTTATTCTTGGTGATTCAAAGTCATATTTGTTTATGAATTTGGTGACAACTGGACATACAGTGTTCTGCTTTTTCAGTTGAAACATTTCAGTTTTTTAATTTTGCCAACCAGATCATATTTTGCCAACCAGTGGACCAGATCAAGAAGGGAGGGAGAATCGGGGTTCCATTAAATTTACAAGGAATGAAACCAAGCTAGGTAACTAAACTATGAACTCATTTAATAAACAAATGGCAAATGGTTATTGCATGCTAGCCACTCCTCTAGGCAAAAGCCAGACATGGTCCTGTCCCCAGTTTGACACATAAGTTTAGAGAATACAAGAAATTTGTTACAGATGGCAGCTGTAGGACAATAAGGTTTAACAGGACAGCCATTTTCAAAGCTCTGAATACATCTCTCACTTCTGTACTCGGGACCATGCCAGAGTTAGCTGCATTTATTGGATGTATAACCATAAGGTGTGGTGAAATAATAGCACATAAAAACTTACACTGTCACCAGTATATATCAAATGACAATTACATTGGAGCCTTGCTAGACTTTGATCCCTGGGCTCCATCCTACTGCGTGCTTAGTCGTTTGGTTGTGTCTGACTCTTTGTGACCCCATGGACTACAGCCCGCCAGGGTCCTCTGTCCGTGGGGATTCTCCAAGCAAGAATACTAGAGTGTGTTGCCTCTTCCAGGGGATCTTTCCAACCCAGATATCAAACCCAGGTCTCTAGCACTGCAGGCAGATTCTTTACCAACGGAGCCACCAGGAAAACCGATGCTAGGTGAGACCTAAATCTATGGCTTGTCCTGATGTCTATCATTAGTTCTTCAGTAAACTTAGAGGATAAACATGATTTACAATGGACTTCACATCCAGTATTCTTGTCTGGAGAAGCCCATGGACAGAAGAGCCTGGTGGACTATAGTCCATGGGGTCTCAAAGAGTCGGACATGACTGAGAGACTTCACTTTCACATCCTATTATATAATGTTATAGCAAAATCTAATGATTTAATGTTTAATACACGATAGCTAGTTTCTAGAAAAGCCTAGATATGGTATAACTATTTGTCCTTACTTTTATTTTCATAACTATATATATATATATATATATATATTTATGTACTTTTATTGCTGTAATTCAATTCAGATATTTTCAGGAAAAAATAAGCATCATCTCAAAAAGAAATGGGATTCCCCAGTAAGGAAAGAGTTAACAGCTTATCTGCAGGGATCTTATCTCTATCATGTGATAGAATCACCACAAAACTAAGCCAGGTACTGGGTTTTATGGTATCTGGTTTGAACAGTTTTTTTTGTTTTTTTTTTTTTAAATGAGAGTTAACATAACTCCATGACTGATTCATGTCAATGTATGACAAAACCCACTACAATATTGTAAAGTAATTAGCCTCCAACTAATAAAAATAAATGAAAATAAAATAAAATAAAATAAATAAACGAGAGTTAACAATCTCATCTCTTTCAGCATATAAACTCTCTAAAACCAAAGCTTCTTAAGAGCTGTGAGCCTTTAATGTGCATTAATTATAATCATCACTAAGTTTGCTTTCTTTTTTTCGTGTATTCAAAAACTCTTTTTCAATCCTGTTATTGCTTCTTATTTAATCACTGTCATTCACTCATTCATTAAATAAATATCTTTGAGTGCCTGCTATATATGACCCAAACATCACTCTAGGTACTTAGGATTCAATAGTGTATAAAACAGAATAAAAATTATTGCCTTCAGGGAACTCCTATTTTTATTAGGATGACATATGGATAGCCATAATTTTAAAGCAAAATATATAGCATGCTAATGAGAAAAACAATTAATGACAAAATAAAGTGCAAAGGAAAAGCAGGGAGTTCTTGGTTTTGTCAGAGAAGTGGGGATTGCAACCTTAAACCAGATGGCCAAAGAAGCTAACATGAGCAAATGGCATTGAGCTAGATATCTAAAAGACATGAGGGCGAAAACCATATGGAAATGGCTTTCTAGCAGAGGAAATAGTTAGAGCAAAGGCCCTGGGGTAGGTATTCCAGGATGTGAAAAGGATAGTATGTGAACAAGGGGGGGAAGTAAAGTCAGAAATGAACAGGGAGAAAGGAGAAAGACCCTGATTCTATATATAACAGTGTAGGACTGTCCTACACTGGTATGTATCACGAGAGTAATGCTGTTAAAAATGACTTATGTATGTAAAATAATAACTGAAATTTAAGTTACTAATAAAATGAATGGATTATCTACCAGGAAGCTGGAAGCCTGCTTATGAGAGAGAACAGAATTAGGAACCAGAGAATCTCAGACATGAGAATGAATGTAGGAGAGGAGTTCAGGGAAAGAAAAAGTTTAAGGAGAAGGCATCAGTGAACAGAAGTTCAACACGGGATTCTTCAGGTGAAGACAGAGGTGAACTGCTGCTGCTGCAAAGTCGCTTCAGTTGTGTCCAACTCTGTGCGATCCCATAGATGGCAGCTCACAAGGCTCCTCTGTCCAAGGGATTCTCCAGGCAAGAATACTGGAGTGGGTGGTCATTTCCTACTCCGCGATGACGAACTAGGCATTCAAAATCTAAGCGTCCAAATAAAAACAATCTGCAGTCCACCCCTCACAGGCATAGTGGGGGAAACATGAGTGATCCCCCTGAAGTAGGTTTAGCAGCTGGCGCTCTCTTATAAATTTTGCAAGTTCAAATAACAGCCCCAAGCCTGTGCTATTAATAACTAGGTATTTGGTGGGGAGACGGCGAGGGGGGGGGGTGTATAATAAGGAAGTACATACACAGCAAAAACCACCCCAGATCAGAGAGGCATCGTTTAGATTCCATGAACTAGGGTCTGCATACTTTATTGGAGTAAACGTTAGTAACATGAATTACATATCTATATAGTTTTAACTTTTAAAAACCATCTCAGGTCTGATAGAATCTGACTAAAGCTCTTCAGTTGTTGGATGGGGCAAATACAAACTACGGATTCATCAGCGAGGTGAAAGGTCTGTCTGCCTGCTGAGGCTGGGCCCAGGCAGACGTGGTCCTAACCTCGAGCCTTGCCTCTCTGGTAAGGAGGCCGCAGCCCTTCCAAGTGCCTGGGTGGACCCTGAAGGAGAGGAGCGGCAGGAAAGGGTGGGAGGTCCGTGGACTGGAGCCAGAAGTGCAACCACCCCGCCAAGCAGCTGAAACAGGGAAACCAGGTTGCGCTGGGAGGAAGTGGATCCGGGCAGGCATGGACGAAGAATGAGGGCAAGAGTCTCCCAGGTCCGGGCTCTTACAGACGGTAAAGAAGCTGGAGGAAGCCATCTAAACTCCCGCCTTGGCAGGGTTTGCTACAGGGAAGCAGAGTCAGAGTCGGGACAGGAGGAAAGGACAAAGGATCAAGCCCGCGGTGGGATGGGCAGACAGAGGTCCCTTACTCTTTAGATTTATCCGATCCGTGCGCGGAGTTGATACGATGCACCTCTTTCTTCCTGGCTTGTTTGGTGGTCATGGCAGAGGGAGCCCCAGGCAGGAGCTGAGCTCTGAGCGAAGAGCCGCCTCCGCCGCCCTGGCTGCGCGTCTGCCGTTGCTAGGAGACGGCCAGTGCGCGTCCTGCAGCCGCGGTGCAGGTGCTGGTCAGGTTTTAGCTGGCGCGGCCCTAGCGAAGGCAGCTCTGAGGTTGTAAAGGGATCGCGAGCGCCTAAGAGCTCAGGTCTCCCCAGCGGGGTGGAAATCTAGGGGTTGGGTGTCGGAGGAAGCCGGCCCGGGCGTGGATTTGACCATAGGATTGATCGGTTCTGATAAACTGGAGTTTTTCTATCAGGTTGACTCTGCCAGGCTTTGCTCTTCGGAAGTATATACCTAGATTAACTCTTTTGGATTTGAAGACATGTACTATAAAAAGTCTTCCAGGTGGCGCTAGTGATAAAGAACCAGTCTACCAATGCAGGAGACTTAAGAGACCAGGGTGCCATCCCTTGGAGTGGAAAATCCCCTGGAGGAGGAAACAGTAACCCACTCCAGTTTTCTTGTCTGGGAAATCCCATGGACACAGGGGCCTAGTAGGCTACCGTCCAGGGGGTGCCCAAGAGTGGGACACGACTGAAGCGACTTAGCAAACACTCTGCAAATCCCTTCCCAGGTCTTCTCTTTTCTTTTTTTTAACCAGGAGAAAAACAGAAGTTTAATAGCATGGATACCTCCTCTATATATGGAAGTTAACAAGAAAACGGAGTCACTCCCTTAAATATCCAAAGCCATCACCTTAAATGCCATCTTCAGACACAAACAAAAGACCTGGGGGTGGGGGGAGAGGGAAGCCAGTTGTGGCAGGCTATCCCGCAAAACACAGTAAAGAAGGGTATGGTTGTTTGCAGGTTGAAGTCAGGACTTGTCCATTGATAAGAGTTACTTGAGACTTAATCATCTGCCTATTTCTGGTGGGAAAAGGGACAGCCCTTAAATATGGAGATTTCTCTATTGTAAATGTCCTTCACAAAAGGACAGTTACTATTTAGTTTTCCAAGATTCCTTTCTAAAAAAAAAAATTAGACTGAAATAATCTTTATGCCAGAGAGTTGTATTTTGGAATGGCATATTCTGCTTGTCTTAACATAGATGTACCCCACTTTGCTTGTGTATTCATCTATTGAAGGATATCCTGATTTGTTCAGGTTTTCAGCTACTATGAATACTGCTGCTGTGCATAATTGTATCCTTGCTTGAATTTGGAAATAGATTTTCAAAGCAGTTGACTAAATAACGAAAGCCTGATTATTGGATCCCATAGTTTAGCTGTAGAAAAAACTGTCCAGCTGTCTTACAAAGTGGTTGTGCATGTACAACACCAGCAGTGAGGGGGGTTCCTGTCATTTCTCACCCTCCAGCAGTTGGTATTGTCCCACATCTGGAGGTCTGGAGTCCTAATAGGCGTGGTGTGACATCTCATACTTTTAATTTGTAATTCCCTAGTAGTGTTGAAGAAGAAAATTTATAATTTTACATAACCTCCTTCTCCTTTTGCCTCTGGAACTCAGCTTTCCCCTTGCAAAGTCTAGATCACGTAGGTCATCTAGTCTCAGAAAGTGGGGACTTGCGATACTAGTGTTGTAATCCCACTTTCCAGGAAACAAACTCACTCAGAAAGACAATGCAGATAGTGCGGTGCAGTTTGTACACCGGCGGGCCCAAGGCGGAGTCTCCTGTTAGCCAAGGACCCTGAACAGTTTTCGTGAAAACCTTATATACCCTAGGCATACGTGCTCAAAGCCACCTCCCCAAATTCTCTGAAACTAGTCTGGACAAAGGAAAAGAAAGATACAATCAAAGCTAACCCCTGATTCATATGCCTTAAGCCTAGGTAGTTAACAGTGGACAATTATCAATAGGCCTGTGGTCACACCCTAATAAGCATAATAGAATGTATGATTCTATTTGGTTACACAGATAATTAGGGCATTCCTTTAGGCAATGGAGAGTCTAGGTGTGAGCCCTGAGGCTCTTCCATTGAGGGGGTCTGGTTTTCCGGTTGGTATGTCGTTTCCATAGATACTGGGCATATAGCTCAAAGGCCACAGTCCGGCCCAAGATGGAGTCCTGCTTTCAGGATGGAGCCTGTTCTGGCTGTTTCCTCCTTCATTCCCCCCACTTGATGCTCTTAACTCATAGTATGAGCATCACTCATAGGGATATATTGCACCCTGGCTCTCCAACTGCCAATTTGGGAGAACGACACCAACCTTTGGGTTACAAAGTTCATAATACATTGTAAAATGCAGGGTTCACAAAGCAGAACTATCAAGGCAACTGTAACAATGATAAATATAGCTTTCTGCCAATCACCCTTCACCCAAGATAGGACCAAAGTTCAGAAAGGAATGTTTTCATTTGACATTGCTTTTACCTGGTTTTCATGTCGTCTAAATAAAGCAGCTGATATGTTGCCAGATAAATCAGGAATATATATATACAACATTCAACCTTGATTATAGCACAGGTCCCTCCTTGAGCAGCTGTGAGCATGTCCAAAGGCATTCTATTTTGAATTACCGCTTCTTCTCTCATTTGGATTTGCTCTTCATTTAAGGCTTGGATGGTTTTAGCACTATCTAGGAGGGCCTGTTTTGTGAAATTAGTCAAGGCTTCTACTTTAATCATAATATCTGTTGTCCCTGTAGAAGGTATGAATAAGGCAGCAATATACTCATACCATTGAAATGCAGACCTTGTCCACCTAGCATGTGAATAAGGTAGATTTACCGGGCCTTGTTGTAGGTTAGGCTTTATGCTGCCATGGGCAAAAGCAAATCCCAGTGTGCAGTGGCTTACCCAACCAATTGGTAACCAAGGCCAAAGGTTAGGCCCACAAAGCCACTGGATTCTGTTGGGCGCCATCCAGCAGATTCCAGGGTTATATTTCCAATCAGAGCCTGGTCAATGGATGGACTGGTTGGGGTGGTATGTGACCTTGAACGTTCGTTTACATTGTTCAGGGATAGGTATCCCATATATTTTAGTTCTTTTGGGTCTAATGGACATCACCAAACCCCACCCTTTGTTCTTTGTGCTCCCAGCATATAGCAGAGTAATTAATTGACCCTTTTCTGGGGTCATTCAGAAATATTCATCTCAGACTTGGTAGAATCGCTCAACATACCTAGAGGCCTGTCCTCCCTTGCTGGTCAGGGAGCCTTTTTCCTTTCTGTTTTTTAAATATGAGGTATAGGCTTTTGTTTCTCCTATGAAACTGGTATTTGCCTCAAATGTAACCCCATGACCCGAGTCTATTGACTGTAGGTCTGGCTTACACCAGGAGAGCAGGGAGAGATTATGACTGACAAGAGAAAGGAAGTCTGTTTTTGTCATCTCAGAAAAGAGCAGAGTGGTTTAAAATCTTGGCGGAGCGGTGACGCCCGCCAAGGAAGTCCATCCACCACAGACAGAGGCATAGCCCCACATACCCAGCAGTTGGAGGTGTTGTGGAAGTCCACGTAGTCATGTGCCCATGAGATGAAAACATTGTCCTGAGTTGAAATGGAAGTTAAATTCAAAATCACGTTGATGAGGCCAGGCAGCAGCAGTTGATTATGCGGCTTCATCCTGAAGGGGCTCGTCCTGGATCTTCTTTTCCTTCTTCTTCTTAAGGATGATCTTAGTCTCTCGAGGGTCAGGGGGTCCCTCTGTGCAGCCCACTCTGCGTTTTCTGGGTCTGCATGGTATGCTGTCCTCAGCCTCATGTGGTGGATCCAGGGAGTGACATTTGCAACTTTAACTGCTAATGTGAAAGGTCCGGGCGTTGAGAAGCAGAATCTTCCAGAAGGGCAAGGCGCCTTCTCCCCTCTAGAAGATTCAAGCTGCAAGGACTCGGAGTAGTCCCAAATGGGACTTGTCTCCTCAAAGTGAGTTTCCTGGCCAATGCACCAAATGTTGTAGCCACGTGTTCCGGGAATCAAACTCACTCAGAAGGACAATGCAGATAGTGGAGTGCAGTTTATTACACCTGCAGGCCCAAGGCAGAGTCTCCTCTTAGCCAAGGACCCCGGCCAGTTTTTTTTCCCAGGTCTTTTCTCTTTTGAACAAGTTCCTCTACTAATAATTAAGGAGACATTATGGACACAGTGAATTTGTTAATGGCTCAATCAAGGTTTCAATAATGAATACAGTGGGTGCAGGGGGATCTCTGCAGGGAAGGCAAGATCATGATCTTGGTCACTTAAGGTTTGATAATGATGATGTCTGTGATTAAATAAGTTGGGGGTCTGGGTTGTTCACATGAAAGAATAAATCCAGGTCATGGAATGGAGCGGCCTTTGATAATTTACTTGAGAAGACCCAAACTGAAGTAAACCAAGACCAATTAAGCCTCTGGCTTAATGGTCATTCAGTCCTGCTGATATTTATAGTTACCTTGCCTTGGGCAAGTTCTTCCTTTTAAGCCTCCAGTTTACTTACTTGTTCTTAACTTGAGTTTCCCTCATAGCTCAGTTGATATAGAATCTGCCTGCAATGCAGGAGACCTGGGTTCGATCCCTGGGTCAGGAAGATCCCCTGGAGGAGGAAATGGCAACCCACTCCAGTAGTATGGCCTAGAGAATCCAATAGAAAGAGGAGCCTGGGAGGCTACAGTCAATGGGGTCGCAAGAATCCAAGAGTCGGACACAACTTAGTGACTAAACCACCACCATATTTTCAGGCACTGATTTACTTACTTGTAAACATGAGATACTAATACCTAACACAAGTCTCTTATGAGGATAAATGAGATGTATTTAAAATGCTTAGAACACAATGAAAGCACAGAAAATAGGGGTTTCTGCTTCAAAATGTCTTCAAAGACCAGGCAGATAACATGAATGAATGAAGCTGAGAAATGCTTAGACTGGGAACATTTTTAAGGGCATTAAAATAAAACCAAATATTACTCTGGCCTAATATAATCTCAGTTTAGAGAGATTTAGCCATCCACAGGCCTGAGGTTTAGAGCCCCTCATATTAGACAGCCTCTTCCATTAGCCTAGAGATAATTGTGTGTGTGTGTGTGTGTGTGTGTGTGTGTTTAGTCGCTCAGTCAT